TTTTTACACTAAAATTACTTTTGACACGATTGACGAAATACAAGACTGTCTTCATAAAAATTGTAGACTGAAATGTCACCTCTCTGAGTTTCTGTTGCCCGATATATGACGCTAAACAACATGTAGTGACAACAATCTCTTAACACTTTTCCGACTATCCAATTTACTTCTATCATTACATCATTTACTCTTATAAGACGCAATCACGTTTGCTACGATCACAGAGAAAAACGAGAGAGATATTAGGTTGTCCGGAAAGTTCGTGCCGATTTTCGGTAGGTAGCGCGAGAGACCTGATTGAATATATCACAATTATTGAAAACAAATGACATGTGTACATATTCTGAAAGAGATAGCTTCAGTCATGTTTGGAAAAAAGATTGGTTACGATTCGTTAATTTTTATCAGTTTTGTACGCCTTAGAATATGGTGGCAAATGAAGTGCAATATAGGCATTTAATGCTTTTCTTTTTCCGAATGGGCAAAAATGCCACACAAGCGGCAAATAAGATATGCGCTGTTTATGGCGAGGATGCTGTAGCCGAAAGAACTGTGCGAAAGTGGTTTGCTCGGTTTAAAGCTGGAAATTCCGACCTGGAAGATCAAGAACGCCCAGGTAGGCCGTCCACCACAGACGAAGATATGATTAGAACAGAAATCGAGAACAACCTACGCTCGACATTACGTTAATTAGCACGAATGCTAAATCAATCAAAATCAACCATACACGATATTTAAATGAGTTGCGTTTTAATTGTCCTAAAATATCGGCACGAACTTTCCGGACAACCCAATAGATTCAGTATTCAGTAACAATTTATACTATGGAACTGTAAAATGCTTTTAAAATGATTGAAGTGTGTTGATTTCGTACGGGCTTTCATCGAAGGGACTTCGCTAGAACCGGATAGGAGACTAGAAAAAGGGGCGAGGAAATACACGAGGCCGCGTGTAATAAAATTAACGTCGATTAGCGATGTGGAGTGAGCGAAGGCGCCGCGCGGTCGCGTGATACTTCTCCTAGGTGATCAATTCCCATTAAATTACTGCGGTGACCATTCGCGTGTCCGCGGCTCTCTTAGAAGGCAGTTACTTACTTCCGAAATGTTAACGGTGATCTCGCATGTTTCCCATTTCTAGCCCCGACTTATCGTGGCTATTCGTTATTATACTCGTGTCGGTGGCTATCTGTTGCTCTTACGGATTTTCACAACGATACTCACTTTCTCCGGGCCACTTAACAACGGCTGTATTAACGTTCATAAATCTTCAAACCATTTTTCACGCTTCCATTCTAACGTTTCAGTTCAAAACGTCATAACGTAATTTACAATAATCTCCATATGTTATCCTATAAATATAATATGTGAAGGAATTTTCAGAATTTCAAGCTGTGAATATCTGAAATACTTCATACAA